CACAAAACACTGCACTCCCAAGAAACCGTAACCAATTATCATCGTTGTGATGTGTTGTTCCTGTTGTTGCTCTTCATGGCTGCTGAGATATTTCTATCCGCCCGCAAAAGCCTGGCAAAGAACTCGAACTCCTTCAGGATTGTTGGAGATGTTGGCCTTAGTTGCTGAGCTCAAAAGCCCCANNAAGTGTAGACTTTCAGTTCTAGAAGGGGTCATATTATCCCCCAAAAAGTGTAAACTATACTCATTCAGCCGGTAAGTGGCCCAGTGCAATGCAGTTCCTTCGTAGCCGTCCCGGGCATTGATGCTGGCCCGAGCTGCGAGCAGCGTCTTCAAGACCTCGCGTTAGGGGTTTAAGACGCAGGGTGTTCAGGGCTTAGGGTTGGGTTTAGGCGATTAGGGGTTTAGGGGTTCAGGTGGGGGTTTCGGGTTTTAGTTGCAATTAGGGCCTGCAGGGCTATAGGTTGTCGGATTTATGGTTGGGATTCTGCAGACGGACCTGATTGCTTTTGTAGGCGGCTGCGATGGAGAGCACCGAAAGGTTCTTGCCAAATACCAACTCCTTCTTCGGCTTCTGTGTGGAATCGTTCGGGCTGGCTTTCTGGTCTAGAAGCGACTGCACCAAAGCTGCATTCCCACTCATCGCTGCGAAACATAGCGGTGACCACCCGGCGCTGTCGTGCGCGGTATAGCTCTTGAAGCCGTTCTGATGCATGAACCATTCCAGCAGCACGGCTTTCGGGTCCGTAAAAGGGTCTGCTTCACTGCGAAATCCTGGAACTAACCCATCGATCGGGTCCATGTTCCTGGGCTTCGAAGTAACCAGGGAGAAAAAAAACAGTCTAGACTTTTACTTCGTAATGCTTGCTTTGCGGAACAGGTCCCTGAACCCGAAATCCTACCCTACACGCAAACCCTAAACCCAAAACCCAGTAGGGTACTCCATAACCGAGGTGCAGGTTCTGCAAGAAGCATGCAGCTTGCTGGTTGAGCAGGAAGCGATACTTGTGCAGATCGCCACGGGCGAGATAATGATGCAACTTGTTCCAAACCTCGGAAACTCTTCCCAGGGAGGAGATATAGGTTTAGGGTTTAGGGTTTATAGGGTTTAGGGTTTAGGGTCTAGATGTAGATATAGATTCGATTTACACATAGATATCGTTGCGGATGTAGGTATAGATATAGACATAGATATGGAATAAATAAATATATACATACATGGACATAGATACAGATGAGGGATACTCAAAGCATATGTAGAGTGATGCCAGCTATGATCTTAAGGTCTATTTCATGGTTACAGGGCTCTGCTGGGGTGGGGATTGATGAGTAACAGTACCTACTCCAACAATTAAGGCCCCTATACCAAACCCTCGCAGTAACCGCTTTTTAGCCCTGCAAAGGGAACCCTTACAGTTACCATAGTTTGGGGTAGTTCCCTAAATTAGGTCCCTTTTTAGGTCCCCAATATAGTACGGCACCCTTATAAAAAAAGGGCCCCCCAAAGGGACCCTAATTTAGACAACTACCCATTTAATACACTATTAAAGCCTTAAAGCCCCTGTTATAATTACCCTAAACCCTAAACCCAAACCCTAAACCCTAAACCCTCATAGTCCGAGCATTGGATCTCCAACGCACAACCGACCTGACCGCAAAGACACGCCAATGTCTGAGCAATCGAACAACAGGTGCTTGGCGGGAAAATGCGGCCCTGGTTTCAGGGTTTAAGGTTCGGTTTAGGGTTCAGGGTTTAGGATTGCCTGTTTCCTGTTCAGGACTTAGGTTGCAAGCAAGGGCTCAAGGCTAGAGCTACGCCTCGTTTAGGGCTTATAGGCTTTAGGGTTTGCCCTCAGGTGAAACGTAGCTCCAAACCCTTGCATGACATGGCCCTTGAGAACAAAAGCCTGGGTTTGGAAGCAACCGCAGAAAGTAGACAAAAACGCTTAGTACAGTATGGTTCCAGGAAGCAACAGGTCCAAAACAAGTATGTGAAGTGAAGTACTCCAGACTTCAAGCAGGCCCCGGAAATCCGAACTACTTGGGGCAGTGCCCCAGAAATGGACGCCCTCCAGCGATAAACAGAGGCCTCACGAAAAAATAGCCTACCCTAAACCCTAAACCTTTAAGGAATACTGCTACGCATGATTGGAGGTGCTCACATTCGAAGCAAGAAGCTCTACAACCCTAAATGCTAAACCCTACAAAACCCTAATCCCTAATACCTAAAACCCTAAACCCAACAAGCCCTAAAGCTAAGGATCAAGACTTTTGAAGCAATCTGAAACTGCGACTCAGAGACCATCTGGATGATCACTCGCCCCACTTTCTGCCTGTCTGCCTGGTGGGGCAAACTTCTCCCAGTAAGCTCCCGAGGCTTGGGTTTGGGGCTTAGGGGTTAGGGGTTTAGGGGTTTAGGGTTGAGGTTTAGGGGCAGTTTAGGGTTTAGGGGTTTAGGGTTTAGGGGTTTAGGGGTTTAGGGTTTAGGGGTTTAGGGTTGAGGTTTAGGGGCAGTTTAAGGTTTGCGTGGGGTTCAGGGTCTGTAGGGTTTAGAGGTTGGAGCTAGCTGTGCTCAAAGCCAGAAACCTTGTTCCTGAAGGCCCTCCCCCGAACAAAAGCCCCTACACAAGCCTCGGCATGGTAGTCCCAACTCTCATCCGCTGCCCCTCCCCGTAAGAACAGCAACAGCAAAAACAAAACAAACAACTTCGAAACTGCAAGGAGCATCGACAGTGTAACTTTCTTCCTTCCTGCCTCGTAGGTAAATTTTCCCAAGCCAGGCGCTTCCATGGACCTTGGCCGGGACGGGCTTATACAGGGCTTGTAGGGCCTGATAGGCTTCTATGCTCAAGCAAAGGCTCCGAATCGTTCTTCTTTATGTACTGGCTTTATGCGGCATCATATCTTGGCTTTTCTGGACTTCATTCCCCAAGCAGTGAGGACAAGTACGAGATAGTACGAGTAAAGGGGTTCTTATGTTAAGAGTACCGCGAATTGATTGAGGTAGCCGCGCGGTGCGCGGGCAGGGACAAATGCTGCCCGTGTTCTGGCTGCAGTGCGAATTTGGTCCCCCGCTTCCCCGCTTTTTTACACAGGATCCCTGCGGTTTAGTGTCTCCCGTAATGGTGCGGTGCATTCTTTTCGCTGGCACCTTACTCTGTACAGCGCTCCGGCAGTATATGGACCACCCTTAGATTTGCTGTCGGGGACCTTGAATCGTAGCAGTAGTTCGGGGGAGGATTTCTCCAGTTGCGCAGGCAAGCAAAAGCGCTGCGCGAAACCCTACCTATCGTCTCCACTGTACTTCGCCTGTGGGGTTACCATTACAGGGTCCGAACTATAGCACTACAATGGAGACGGTAGGTAATCCTCTACTCTTTTTGCACTCTTGGGAAATCGTGTCTGGTGGTCTCCCGGTGGGATCTTGGTAATCTCCTAGTGGTCTCCGGGTTGTCGTGCTGTTATGTGTCGTCGTGGTTTAGGGTTTAGGGTGCTCTTCCACTGTCAGGGGATCTACGCTGGTTTAGAATGGTGGTCTAAAGGGATGCAAGAGCTCTGGGGAGTGGGAGCAGGGGTTCTACGGTGTATAGGATGTCGCCAGGGCATTCTAGAGATGTGCTAATTCCGAAGAAGGTCGTCGGAGTTTGGAGGGCTTTGCAAGGGTATGCGGGGTAGCTATGGGGGGGGGGTGTTGTATTTAGGATCCTACTTTATCGGATCGAGGCTGGGTCGGGTCATGTCGGGTCCCTATTCTGCAAATTCGCACGAAAGAAGCTGTGATGTTTCGAGGCAAAGAATCACAAGAGACAACAGAGCCAACACATCCGAACCGCTAAATTTTGGCACGGTGCCGGCTGATTTCGAACACCAGCGATTGGTGAACCTTGCAAGTGGCTGCTCTCGCTCAGTAAATCTAGGACCCGAAGCTGTGTGCTGTTGACTGCCCGTTTCTGGACCTCGGGCGCTAGGACACCGACCAATTGCAACACACCCTAAACAACGGTCCGGAACTCTACATCGTAGTTTTAGGAATTAAACACCAATATAGAAGCCTTGATATTTGGAATAGGGTTTGGGGACTGCCCGTTTCGGGACCTCGGGCGCTAGGACGGACCCACCACTTGCAACACACCCTAAACAATAGTCCGGAACCCTACATAGATTTAGGAATCAAACAATCCATATAGGGGCTCTCATGATTGACCGCCCATTTCCGGACCTCGGGCGCTAGGAAAAAGACCAATTGCAACACACCCAAAAACCCTGACTCACACCCTAAACAATGGTCCGGACCCCTACATCGTGGGGTTAAATATTTAGGAATTAAAAAATCAATATAGGAGCCTTAATAATTGGAATAGGGTTTAAAGACCTTTATCATATGAATCATACTAGGGACCCCAAGGAATAAAACGACGACGACTACTACTACTGCTACTGCTACTGCTGCTACTACTACTGCTGCTGCTGCTACTACTACTACTACTGCTACTACTTCTTCTGCTGCTACTACTACTACTACTACTACCACTACGACTACTACCACTGCTACTGCTACTGCTACTGCTACTGCTACCGCTACCGCTACTGCTACTGCTACTGCTACTACTTCTACTACT